CCTGTTGGCGTGCTGTCGTTCTCGGACGTGCTGTCGCTGTTTGTGCCCGAGAGCGACCCGGAGCCTGGCGTCGACGCCTTTGCGTCAGCAGCGGTTGATGCGTGACGAATGAAAGCGGATATCCTGTGCACTTGCTGGTGTTTTTGACTGTTCCCGGCGCGTTGTGGAAGCGCGATGATGTCGCGCTGTCGGATCGCAGCATCGCCATCGAACTGCAGCATCACGCAGGAGAATCGCGGCATCGCCGATCGGCACATGAGGCAGGGCGATCAGCAGAAGGGCAAGCCCTCTTAACTTAATCGGGAGAGTGCTCAATTTAGGTTTGAGAAGTCCGTGTTCGAGCCACGGAGGGGGCATGCGCGGCGGCTGCTGCGCACAGCAGCGGTTCGCAGCGAGATTTTTCGGCTTGTTCGTTGCAGGCGTGGGAACGCGGTCGCACGGACTGACTGGCCAGATGCGCGGCTGGCGCGATCTGGATCCAGACGGCCCGGATGCGCCGCAAACACGGCAGTGTGCACTGTGAGTGCTCCGCGTGCAGTGTATCGTGCGATGACGGCCGATGTCTGGTGGTGTGGCGAGGCGACATGAGCAGGACGCGTCGGGTTTGCTGGGACTGCGTCTCGAGCGTCCCATGCTGAAGGACAGCACAAACATGCGCAAGACGCGACGCGCAGCCCGCCTCTGCGCTGCGGGCGTCGCAGCCGCAACTGCTCAGCATCCGCAAAGTGTCAGGTGGGACTCGATCGGGGACTGCGGGGGTCATGTTGCTTGTTTCCTTGGTGCTGCGTACACACTTTACCAGGCTCAGCTCTGGCAATACCACCGTGCGCGGCACGCGGCTGCTCAGGGATGAGAGTAGCCGACAGCCGACAGCCAATGCTCTTCTCGAGTGAGGCGTAGCCAGTCCACATAGGCACTCGGCGCCGCGTTTGTTTCTTGCTCTTCAATGAACGCAGCTTGCCACCCCAAAAATGTTGCTTGTTGATGGTCGACTTGTGTGCTTCCAGTGTGCGCAACAAGGTCGGGCCGCAGGGGCTGTGGGCGGTGTGTGCAAAAATAAGCATATCGCTTGATCAGACTCGAAAAACAGCTGATTTGCGTGTGCCGCCGATTTGGTGATTCCACAGGCTTTGTTGGATTGGCAGCATATCTGATTGATGTGACGCTGTGTGTGGTTTGTGTTGTTGCCCTCGTGCATGTTGTTTAGTTCGGCCAATGAAACAAACACGGCGAACCCTATATTGGGCTTCGCCGCGCCTTGTCTTTGCTTCATTCCATGCCGCACATATGGCGCGCACTACCAGTGCAACAGTTTGGGCCGGGATGTGTGGATTGTGTCGGCGGATCGGCACATGGCCGAGCTTGATCGATGCGTTGGTGAACGCAGTTGTGTTTTTATCACAGAACCGCCGAGTTTGGGTCGCAGGGGGGCCGCGCGATGCCGGAGCAGCAGGTGCGAGTGTGGCCAGCCAGAGGCAGCGGGCGGCGGATTCGTGGCGGGCGTTGATTTTCTGATGTTCGCGTGCTTCCTTAGCTCAGCTGGGAGAGCGTTAGACTGAAGATCTAAAGGCCCCGTGTTCAATCCACGGAGGGAG